AACTTTTTTTTTTAGAGGTTTTTGCTATACGGCGTGTGTGCTCGCCAGACAGACAGAGACAGGGAGACAGAGAAATCACCCCCAGGGGGGATGGCCACACTGCAATCCCTTCTCCTCCATGCTCCTCTAGGGATCTTGGGCACACACACATGCACCCGGTGTGAGTTTTAAGCCGCTGGGTCCGGGACGCGAACCACGGTCGACTATGTGGGAGTCCAGCAACATAGCCTTTACACTAACTGCTGGTCTCAAGGAACTTTATTTTGTTTACATTTATTTTTTATTTGCCAGAGGGCGTGGGCTCACTGGAGAGAGACAGAAGGAAAGAGAGAAAGCACCCTTTGTGGGCCTTAACCACTACACCACCTGCTGGCCCCCCTAGAGTGTTTTTCAAGCCATTGAGTCCAGTTCTTAAACTTCACTGATGACTGTTTGAGGCCACTTTAATCCCCAGACCACAGGGAGGCCCAGACTGTTAACTTTTTAAAGGAAACTATAATACTTTTAATATAGTAGAAGTATGTTGTACATACATAATAAATTCAAACTGAATTTGCAGTTTAATACAAGAGCATCCTTTCTCCTTTACTGACAGGAATGGTCTCTGGAATAGATGAGAAACTATTAGAAATGTACTTGACTTTTACAAGTATAACAGCTGAGAATTATTCTCCAATACTCATTTTTCAAGGACTTTTCCTACGTATTTACTTTCTAGAAATTTTACCTGGTAATAATAGCTAACACTTAACTCACTGCCAGGTACGATTCCTGAACAATTCAGAAATATATTCTATGACTGTTCTCACTTACAGATGAGCAAAATAAGGTTTGAAGAATAAGTAACCATTATTAAGTGACAAAATGTGGAAGTTAAAGTGTTGCTACTTTGATATTTAGTAGTAACGATTAGAATTTTACTAAATATGGTAACAGTGAAACTTTTGTAGAACATATTTGCTTTTTGAACACTGGATTTTGTGTAGAGGTTACAGTGTTTAATTCACTTAGAGGACTCGTGGGCTGGCTGAAGGAGAGAGAGAAAGGAAAAGTAAGAAAATACTCCCATGGGGGATGGTCACTCTGCATTCCCTTTTCCCTCCATTTCTCTCTTTTGGGAATTCAGGCTCATGTGCTTAACTTATTTTTCATGCTGCTGTATCTGGGACTGAACCATGCAGTCGGCCATGTGGGATCCAGCTGCCTTAACCATCACATCACGGGCTGGCCCTGGATAGATTTTTTTTTTTTTTTTTTTTTTTTTAAGAGGTTTTAGCTATAAGGCGTGTACACTAGCCAGACAGAGAGAGAGAGACAGAAAGCGAGAAATCACCCCCGGGGGGGTGGCCACGCCACAATCCTTTCTCCTCCGTTCTCCTCTCAGGATCTTGGGCACACACGCACATGCACCTGGCATGAGTTTTAAGTCACCGGGTCTGGGACGCGAACCGTGGTCAACTACGTGGGAGTCCAGCGACATAGCCATTACGCTAACTGCTGGTTCTTAGATACAGTTTTATAAGTAGACTGCAACAAAAAGCCTGACTATAAGAAGATAGATTTTTTTCTAAAGAAAATTTTGTTATGAAAGTGTTATAGTGAGACCAGCAGTTAATGTAATGGCTATGTCGCTGGACTCCCATGTAGTCAACCGTGGTTCAAGTCCCAGACTCGGCAGCTTAAACTCACGCAGGGCGCGTGTACATGTGTGCCCAAGATCCTGAAAGGAATATGGAGAAGGGATTGCGGGATGGCCATCCCCCCTGGGGGGGGGTGATTTCTCACTTTCTGTCTCTCTGTCTCTCTCTGTCTTTTTGGCGTGTGCACGTGCCCTATAGCAAAAACCTCTCTGAAGAAAAAAAAAGTGTTATAGTGTAAGTCAAATTGACAAAATGCTTAATCTTGAGGAGCCAAATGGTTATTAAAGAGAAACTCAAAATTAAACTATTGGGGCCTGCCGGTGGCATGGTAGTTAATGGCACTGAACTCCCGCATAGGCGACCGCGGTTCAAGTCCCGGACCTGGCAGCTTGCTTCCTCACCCACCTCCCCGCTGCCCTGCCCCCCACTCTGTCCCTCTCTGGTCAAATGAAAATAAATAAATAAGAGAGTTAAGTAAATAAGAGAGAATTAAATAAAGCAATTAAAAAAATAATTAAACTAGTTAGTCTTTGTTTTGTGATTTTTTTTTTTTTGACAGCTATTTTCTGTAAGGAGTAGTATAGTGAATATACTTATGCATAGAGCAGTAAACCCAAATGCGGAGCATGGTTTCCTTAATTTATGGATTGCTTATAACTCTCTAGTGAGGCATGTAAAACAGCAGGTAATTTTATCTTTATTCTATGACTATCTGCTTTACTCTTTTCTTCAAATATTTATTTATTTTTAAAGTTTGTTTATTTCCTCCATGAGAGAGACAGGGAGAGATTTGGGGCAGGGGGCATACATTCCCAACAGTGTAGTCTCAGGACTTGAACCTGGGATTTTCTCATGTGAGTTCAGTTGCATTACCGCTAGACCACCACTGTCTCCCCTAAACATTTTAAACACAGATTTTAGACTTCTTTTGTAGTGTTTTAACATGTTACTATGGAATAGATGTGAGTTTATTAACTAACTCAGATTGAGGAAGGCTCAAGGTGAGTTTTGTTACTATGCTTTAAATTTGACGTGCCATAATAAATGTCCAAATGTTCTAGAATGAGACATTTTTTTCATTTAATTTCCATCTTTGAGAGAGGCAGCTGCCAAATTTCTCCCCATTTAACTGTAAATTCTAGGTTATTTTACCAGTCATCTGGCAAGGCAATTTTTTTTGTTTTAGACAAATGAATGTGTAGGTTCTGGACTCAGACTACAAGGGCTATTAGATTAGTTATGAACTTTGGACAAATTTCATCTCTTACCTTATCTGTAAAGTGGAGCTAATAAATCTATTTACATTATAGGCTTGTTATAAGAATTAAATATTGTAAGCACCCAGGATTTGCTGCTATTATTATAATGAAGAAGTTTGAATATCAGTCAGATAAAGACTTGTGGAGCCCTACCTGTACTAATATTAATTTGTTATATCCATTTTATTTGTTAATTTACATTTTTATAGCATTTTAGAATCTGATATTTATTCTTTTGTTTTGATTACCAGAGTACCTTCTGTATAAGTACTCTTAAGATTTAAACTAGATTATCATCAACTTAACCAACTTTGATTTATAGTTGAAACCTAGAACAGTGAAGTGACTTGCCTAAGGTTTTATAGATAGTAATTTGAAATAGATCTTGATAAACCAGTATTTTTATTATACCTTAGTCAGCTGCTATAAATATAAAAAATCTTAAATGAATACCAAAGGCAGTTTATAAGGAAATCTCAGGCATGTTGGTCTCTTACAATTTCTTTCAAGTTTCTTTTTATCATTTTCATTACTAATTAAGCTAAACTTTGACCAGCCTCCTCTTTTAGTGATACACATCAAATATGAACATAATTTAATTTTAAATATATATTGAGCAGTGTGCAAGGTGCTTATAAAGGATAGAAAGATAATAATGAAGGGGCCAGCAGGTGGTATGGTGGTTAAGGTGTTGGACTCTCATATGGCCAACCATGGTTCGAGCGCTGGACCTGGCAGCTTGCTTTTTCGCTTTCTCTTTCTCTCTCTGTCTGTCTCTGGCCAAATGAAAAAAAAAAGAAAGCAATAATGAAGTTAAATATTAATAATAAGATAATAATTAATAGCCTTTCCTCAAAGAGACAAATAGATTGGGCACATTCTCCCCCCAAGGTTTTTGCCATAGGGAGTATCTACTTTTCAGAGAGGGACATAGAGAGGGAAAATGAGAAACCACCCCCAGGGGGAATGGACACTTTGCAGTCCCTTCTCCTTTTTTCTCTTGGGATTTGGGCACACATGCACACATAAGCACCTAGCATGATTTTCAAGCCACTGTGTCCAGGACTCAGACTTCAGTCAGCCATGTGGGAGTCCCGTGCCTTAACCACTGCACTACCTGCTGGCCCCAGATTGGGCACTTTCATATGTAATTTTTAAAAATTCTCACATTCTAGGACCAGCAGGTGGCGTGGTGGGTAGGTGCTGAACACGCCCACATGGCTAACCATGATTCAAATCCTGGACCTGATGGCTTGCTTTCTTGTTTCCTCCCTCTTTCTCTTTGGTCAAAATAAAATAAATGAATAAATAAATAAAATTAAATAATTATTTTTAAAAAATCTAGTATTTTCATTCTTACTGCCTTTTAGATATGATATTTTTGTTTTCTGTCCTTCCTGACATGATCTTGAAAGCAGCCCTAGTCTTCCAGTTTTTCCATTCTTTTGGAGAGGTTGTCTTTTTTCTTTTTTTAAGGTTTTTGCTATAGGGCGCATGCACTCGCCAGAAAGCCAGAGAGAGAGACAGAGAGACAGAAAGCGAGAAATCACGCCCCAGGGGGGATGGCCATGCCGCAATTCCTTCTCCTCCATTCTCCTCTCGGGATCTTGGGCACACATGCACACGCGCCTGGCGTGAGTTTAAGCCACCGGGTCCGAGATGCGAATTGCGGTTGGCTACATGGGAGTCCAGCGACATAGCCATTACGCTAACTGCTAGTCTCAGTTTTTCAGATAGACTTTTTTTTCTTGCTTTACTAGCTTTTCATTGCCCTTTATTTCTTTATTGTTACTTTAGGGTTTTGATTGTTTTCATTTTGGTGTTATTTTTGTTTCGGTATTGTTGCCTTTACTTTGCTAAATCTGTTTTTAATGTTGTATTTGCCCAATTTCTCTTCCGTTTGATTTGTATTTAGCTTTGATTGTTGTCATGACTTGCTAAATATTCATTTGTGTAAAAAAGAACAAATTTATCCTTTTGAGAAATGACCTCTATTTTTGAGGGAGTCCCTTTGGTTTTTGGAAGCATATTAGGCAGAAGTACCTATAATTTTATGTCATTAAAAAATAGCTCAATACTCCTATGTTCACTTGGTTTCTAGGTCTATTCTGGATAGCAGGTTTTGTGAAGACATTTATTCTTTCTTGGACCTCAGATTTACCAGACATCTCATGGTATTTCCTTTTATATTATTTCTCTAATGGCTGTCATTTATTGTCAGTGCATTTTCTATGTTAGTTGGATGACCAGATTTTTTATTTGCTTATAAAATGTGAATGCTTTGTGGGAATTGTTTGAATTGTGGTGAACTTTTAAACTTTTATTTATGCCTGTTATAAGTTAATATATTTTTTTGCTTACTACATTGCCTTTTCCATTTTCTCATTTTTCAAATTATTTTCTTTAAGGATTATTTATTTAGTTTAATTTATTATTATTTTTACATTTACTGTAGGGCACATACGCTCACCAGAGACACAGAGAGAGACAGTGAGAAAGCAAGCCACCAGGTCTGATATTTGAACTGCAGTCAGCCACGTGGGAGTCTACCACTCCCCTCCATTTTCTAATTTTTAAAGACAATGGTTTGACACCAATAAGTTTGTGACTTTTTGAGGTATCAACTAGAATTTTTTTTAAAGAGGTTTTTGCCTTAGGGCACATGTGCTCGCAGGCAGGGGAGGGAGGTGTGTGTGGGGGTGGCGGGTGGTAGAGAAAGACAGAGACAGAAAGAGGGAAAGTGAGAAGGAAAGTGAGAATTCACCCCCAGGTGGGAAAGCCAGGCAGTAATCCCTTCTGCATTCACCTCCCAGGATCTTGCATGTGCACGCACATGTGCCTGGCGTGATTTTCAAGCCACTGGGTCCTGGATTTCAACTGTAGTCAGCCATATCGGAGTCCAGCATGTAACCACTACGCCATCTGCTGCCCTCTCAACTAGATTTTTTTAGCAGTCTCAAGTTTTCTGGCTATAGTGTTTTTGATATTAATGAAAATAGTGAAATATTTTTATTTTTATGGTCTTAATAGATAATGACCTCTTGTCTTCTAACCTCTTGTGTTACTGAGATCTTCTTTTGTATTGAATCGAACTCAAGAGTCTGTAGTTCTGTTGCAGATATTATGTGGTTTTATCCTGTATTTTTAGAAGGATGCAGTTCCAGAGGTGTCATGCATTTCTTTTTGTAGCACTTGGTTTATAGGTTGAGAGTTTATTTGGTTAATGAGACAAGAACTGCAGTTTCTACCCAAGTGCTTTAATTCATTCAACAGTCCTTTGTAGAATGCCATTATATTCCAGTCATTGTGCAAGGTTTGAAAGACAGCAGTAATCACACAAATATAAACCATTGTCCAAAATAGGCTTGTGGCAGGCTCTTTACTGCTATCTAAAATTATAGCTTAAATGTAGTGTTTATTGAGGATTGTATATTTATATAAAAAGGGGCACACTGTTAAATGTATACTCAAATAGATTTTGATTTGCACTATTACTCATTTACTTAAAAAATACATAATAACTTGTTTTCTGCTTTTCAGTTTTTGCCTCTGGTAAATAAATGCACAACTGAACACAATATAGATCTAAAATACAAGACTTCTTATGAGATAACATAAAGAAAGATAAGCTGATCTGAAGAAAACTTCTACCATCTAGATGCTGCCAACAAGGAAGAGAATTTTTTTTTAAATTACAGTTGCTACCTGTTGTTAGGACCACATTTTCAGCATTTTAAGGAAATGCAGTATAATATAATACTTGAATAGACACCTTTTTTTTTATTTTGCTTGCACTTTGGCATGTAGAAATGTTATAATTTATAGTTTTGTGCTGGTTTCTAAATGTGACTTTTATGAAGTAACTCTAATAGACTCACAGATACAAAAAAGAAGGTAGGGCAGTTTTTCCTTTTTCTCACTTTGCTTTAATTATCTTTTGGGGAGGATTTTAATTTGATGGAGTGAACTATAGAAACTATAGAAACCTGGTGGAGAACCGGAATTACTTTATTTTCAGTAGCTATCAGGAGATTCTCTTTAAATGAGAGAGCTTGGAGAGCTTTTCTATTCACACATTGTTTTCTGATGAAATAAGAGCAGCTCTTCTTTTTATGTGGCTGCCACATACGCAGAGTCTTCAAAAAGTGTATGGAGAACTGATCCTGCAGCTTAGTTTTATAAACACATAATATGTGTCGTAGTTGAAGTACTGGCCCTGGCAGCTTGAAAAACATGCTGTGCACATGTATTTGTATGCCCAGGATCCAACAGAATAGAGAAAGTGAGGAGAGAAGGGATTACAGCATGACCATATCCCATTGGGGAGTATCTTTCTACTCTGATGGGTGCAGGTATCTTTGGTAGTAAAACAAAATAAAGTTCATGGGTCCAGCAGCTGGCATAATGGTTATATCACTGGACTTGCACATGGCTGACCACAGTTCAAGTCCTAGACCCAATGGCTTGAAACTCATGCCTGGTGTGTATGCATGCATGCCCAAGATTCCAGAGGAGAATGGAGAAGGGATTTCACTGTGGCCACCCCCTTGAGGGGATGCTTTCTCACTTTCCCTCTCACCTTCTCTCTCATACACCCTAAGGAAAAAACCTCTTTTTAAAAAATCATGGAAAATGTGCATTATGATAAAACTACATGGGTTTCAAAGTTTTTCTGCACACACAGAATAACTAACTTATTTTTCATAAACTTTCTAAAGTCCCCCTGTATTAACAGGTAAGTATGGTAATACTGTGTAGAAATGCTTTATATTCATTATTTCATTGTCTTTGTAGAAATCCTTTGTGTATAAATCCTATTTTAGGCCAGCTCTGTGCACTGGTGGTTGAGGCAGCCAGATCCCGCATGACCGACTGCATGGTTCAAGTTCTGGACCTGACAGCCTGAAAAACATGCTGGGCATTTGTGCATGTATGCCTTAAATTCTCCAGAGGGAGAGATGAAGGAGAATGAGTTTCAGTGTGACCATTCCTTTTAGGGGTTGCTTTCTCTTCTCCCTCTGGCTCACTGTTTCTCTCTAGTGAGCATGCATGCCCTCTAGCAAACAAAACAGAACAAAACAAAACAAAACACCCATTTTGTAAATATTGAACCTGATGCTTAGAGAGATTGAATAACTTCCCTACCTCATAGATCTATAGTAAATGGTAGTCATCCTCTGAAGTTAATGTTTTTGATTTTTAGGTGCAATGCCTATTTATTGTATGTTTTTATATCACAATACCTTATAATCTCATAGGTCTTCTCCAGTTGAATATAAAAGTAAAAGCTACTTTTCTTGGAGAGTTTAAACTACAGTTAGCATTCTGTTTCCTCATTTTGGTAATTTTCCGCTGTTAGGTGTGACCTCACAATCTGTATCATCTGTGAAATAGCCAATTACCCGAGTAGGTATTCTTAAACACAGCTGCAAAAATTAAAGGTAAATACAAGCACCACTATTTGCAGAAACACTGTTCTTCAGCATTTCAGGTATAATGTTATAGGAATAGAGATCATATTGACTGTTTCTAGTTTTTAGTTAATAGGATTTTTTATCTATGTTTTGTTTCGGGGTTGAATCATACTATTATCAAAAAGACTTTGAGGAGGTATTTTATAAACAATACATATAACAAGTGTTATATAGTGATCTTAGATTAGAAAAATTAATATTGCAGCTGAATATCTTTTGGTTACTATTACAAAATGTTTTTTAAAATGTTTCAAGTATATTAGTTTCCTTTACTTTTATTAGGGAGTATTAATTCTAGAGAGGTGATATTAACTGAAGAAATAGAGAATCTCCTCAATATACATACATTTATTATTAAGGAAAATAGCAATTTCTGTAAAAACTATTTATTATAAAAAATAAAAGAGTTTTCTTTGTGTACATACATATATAAACATTAGTGTAGAATTAATTCAGTTTCATCTCTTAAGCTGAGCAAGCTTGGTGGTTTAGCTTTTTATGGTTTTGTTTCCCAGTGGTAAATAAAGATAGTATCTACCTCAGAATTGTGCGGATTAAATAACCCACCCAGGTAAAATGCTTCGTATTGTACTTAGTCAATAGTATGAACTCAGTATTTTTTGTATTTTGTTAGATCACTTACTCAACCAAGAACACTTCTGAGCGTTAGTACTATAAGAAATTACATTTTATCATTTCTTAAAATAATTATTTTATTTAACTTTATTTATTTATTTATTTATTATTAAAGTTTGACCAGAGAGGGGCAGAGCGATAAGTGAGAGAGAGAGAAAGTAAGAAAACAAGTCACCAGGTCTGGACTCGAACTGTGATCGGCTCTGTGGGAGTCTAGCGCCCTTAATCACCACGCTACCTGCTTGCTCCTATCTTTCAACATGAATATTTGTTGGTTCTTCACTAAATAATGTGTTTTAGTAATCCTCCTTATGGGATCCTAAATTCATTTCCTAAGAAAGATTATGATTGAGAAGCTTCTTTTGATCATTATCAGATACTTAATTCCAGAGAAATAAATCAAATAGACACTCCCTGAGCAAACTCCAGTTTAAATTGAGATTTTAATAGAGTATACTTTCTTAATGTAGTTTACTTATTGTTGTTATATAATACCTGTTGCTAGAAATAATAAAGATAGTTCTTAACTTTTTTGTTGCCTTTTCTTTTAAACAGGGTTTGTGGATGCACTTAGATGTTTGCAATGAGCACTGTGGCTGGCATGCCCCAGTGTTTTGGATACCAATGCATAGGACTCCATAGTAATCGAATTTACCAGAGGCGAACGTCATGAGCATAGTGATCCCTTTGGGGGTTGATACAGCAGAAACGTCATACTTGGAAATGGCTGCAGGCTCAGAGTAAGTATTTAAATTAAAGGTATTTTGGATAGGAAAGCCAACATACTCCATACATTATTTTGGCGCAATCAAACAGTCTTAATTTGCATTTATATTCTCATTTTAGACTGTTAGCTAAAGTATTAGAAGTTTAAAGGCAAGAACTTTTAAAATTAACATTACTTTTATAAAAAAACCTTTAGAGCCAATTGTTATTATCTTTTTCCAATTTTCTGTCTTTTCCGTTTGCTAATTGTTGGCACTCAGAATCAAGATAATATAGGGTGCCAGTGTTTTAATTCAAGGTTTGTCATGTTAATATTGGAAGGTAATTTGGTTTTAAATTTTAATTTAACTTAATTTTTCACCTAACAAATTATATATAATTTGTAATATTTATTTAATCACAGAATTTGTGTCGTTAAAAAGAAAGTTGAGTTGAAAAACAAATCTCAAGCCATTTTTAAATAGGAGAGAGTATTTCTTGTTAGCTAACCATTTTGACAACTTTTGTTTTTGTGAGAACCATTCCTGATGGATTCAGTTGAAAGGTTCTTACTTTGCTTCTAGATTGCTTGGTCTAGGTACTAGTCTGGATAGGTGTAATTATCTTTTGTTTTTAAATGAGCAGCCTATTTAACTATTTAACACAGTTTATTGGTGTGAAGTTGTTTGTTTCTGGAAATTACAAAGGATTTAAGTGAATGTGGAAGGTGAGAGATTGCCTGTGTTTGTTTTCTGGTTTAGAATACAGGTGTATCCTGAACTTAGTGAAATTCAAGTTTAAAAAGAAAGAAATGTATTTATATTAGTGCTCCCAAAACTGTCATATGGGAGGCAAGAAAAGGCCGTTGTTGTTCCTTCTTTTGTTGGCATTTCAAGTGGTTTAAAAGTGTTTTCAATACTCCCACTTCTTTGACAAAGACCCAGAGATGGTACTATTCTTGTAATATACTATACAGTTTCACTGTATGGGTATTATAGTTTCTAAAAGTTTTAGAAATGTTTTTTGTATGGTGTATAAGTTTTGTTTTTTTTTCCCTGTTGGTTCATTTTTGTAAAATAATAGATTTCCAAGCAGCACTGAATGACAATTAACTGCCACCTGTCCCCAAATATGGACACTACTATTGGGTCATCAGAAAAGTCATGACATATTTTTTTATGTAAAAATGCATCATGACTTTTCTCATGACCCAATAAAAGCAGGGCTTGAGAAACTAGGAATCACAAGTTTAAGATACTGATCTTTCTTAACATAAAGCACCTGATAGATACAAATTCAAATAGGACACAAATTACAGACCTTTATAATACTCAAAGAGTAATAAAGATTCTTTATTTCTTAGTCAGTTTAACAGTCTTTCTTTAAAGAAATTAGCCTAGTATACAATGTGAGATATACCTCATATGTGCCACTGATTTTTTTTCTTTTCAGAGAGAGATTTTTTGCTCATGCACTCACCAGAGAAACGGATCAAGACAGAGACAGAAAGTGAGAAATCACCACCCAAGGAGGATGGCTATGCCACAGTCCTTCTCCTCCATTCTCTTCCTGGGGTTTTGGGCATGCACGCACACATGCTCATTGTTATTTTCAAGCCATCAGGTCAGGACTTGAAGTGCGGTTGGCTATGGGAGTATAGCAATGTAACCACTATGTCATTTGCTGGTGCTTAAACCTCTTATTAATCTATAATTGTTTCAAAATAAAAAAGTCTCCTTTTTTAAAGCAAAATCAAATTTTATTATATTTATGTGACTATGTAATTTTATTAATTATATATTAGTTACTTTATAAAACAGATTGTAGGGACAAACGGGTGGCATAGTGGTTAAAGTGCCCGATCCCACATGGCCAGCTCTTCGGTTTGAGTCCTGGACCTGTGAAAAACATGCTGGCTCATGTGTATGTGTGCCCAAAATCCCAAAATGAGAGTGGAGGAGAATGGATTGTGATATGGCCATCACCCTAGAGGGCTGATTTCTTTCACTTTCCTTGTCTCTTTGTCTCTGTCTGGTGAGAGCACATGCCCTATAGTTTAAAAAAAAGGGGGGGGGACTGTATAGCTAAAATACAGTATAGGAGCCAGCAGGTTCTGATTAAGATGCTGGACTCCCACATGGCTGACTGTAGTTCAAGTTCCAGACCTAGCAGTTTGCTTTCTCATTCTCTCTGTCTGTCTGTCTCTCTCTGGTCAAACTGAAGAACAATAATAATAAAATAAATAATTCTTTAAAAATTAAAAGAAAATAAAATATAGTATAGTTAGCCCTCTGTATTCATGGATTCTACATCCACAGATTTAACCAACTGTGGATATAACTAGGCCACATCAATTATTATAAAATGGGAGAAGGTGTGGCTCTATAAAAAAGAATGCTGAAAAATTTATCTTTTCATTTATATCTGATGTACTTGTAAGTAATAATGCTTAGCTTACTTAAAAGGAGATTTAAAGTGTAAGGAAGGACATACATAGGTTATGTGCAAATACTACATAATTTTGCATGAGGGATTTTAGCGTCTCAGATTTCAGTATCTACAAAGGGTCCTAGGACCAGTCCCCTGTGGATATTGAAGAACACACCACCTGCTGGCCCCTCTACTGACTTCTAAGACTATAAAAGAAAACATAAATATATCACTTAGAGTTCATCTATACCCGTAGCGTTTTTTAGATAGAAAATCGAAGGTCTAGTTCAAGATCTACAAAGAAAGCAAGCATTTGCTGATCTCTAGATCATTGTTTCCATTCCTCAGTAACATTTGTTCTTGGATTATTGTATCTCTAAAATAAAACTCTTTATCCCACCAAAAATCCATTGTTACATATTTAATTTCCTCTTACTAAGTTTTAAAAAATTTTGGTTTTGTTTTGCCATTCTTTCAGAATAAACTCTTGTATTGCATTTTTTCCTATTTTTTATAACTATGTCTAGAGTTGGCTTTTCTTAAACATTAAAATTAAGATGTATCAAGGCCTACAGGTGGCTTAGTGGTTAAAGTGCTGGACTCCCACATGGCTGACTATAGTTTGAGTCCCAGACCCAGCCGCTTGAAGCTCACACTGGGTGTAGGTGGTAGTTATGTGCCCAAAATTGTAAAAGAGAATAGAGGAGAAGGTATTGTGGAGTGGCCATCCCGGAGGGGCGGGGAGGGAGAAGTGATTTTTCACTTTCTCTTCCTGTCTCTATGGTAAGTGCACATACCCTATAGCAAAATACTTGAAATAAATAAATAAAACCAACTAAAATGTATCATCTCGAAGTACTTTAGAAATACCTCAAATAAATAAATAAAACCACTAAAATGTATCATCTCGAAGTACTTTCTTTTCTTTTTTTTTTTTTAAGTACTTTACTTTTTTAACTGATTAGTGGGACTAGCAGATGGTGTAATGGTTATATTGCTGGACTCTCATGTAATCAATCGCGGTTTGACTGGTTGAACCCAGACCTGGCGGCTTTAAACTCATGTTGGGCACGTGTGTGTTTGTGCCCCAAATACTGACAGGAGAATGGAGAAGGGATTGTGGAATGGCCATTCCTTCAGGGTGATTTCTCACGAAGGCCCTTCAGGCAGCAACCCCACAGAAAACGGAAAACAGCACACCTGATCTGGCCATGCGATGTGCGCCCACGAACTGACTGGAGCAAAACTGATTTGGGCGTAGCGAGATTTGATTTCATGCTAAACAAATTCCAGAGGGATTTTCATATGGAGAGGCCGCTCCTCCCCTCACGCGCTCTGCTCCGCTGCATTTCAAAGTGGTCAGGTCCAATCTCCCAGTTCTCTGCAGGCCCCAAGATGGGCTTCTCAGACCTTCCCAAGAGGAGACTGGAGGAGAAGGGGTTGCAGTGCGGCCACACCGCAGGGGAGGAATTTCTTGCTTTCTGTCTCTCTGTCTCTCTCTGTCTCCCTGGTGAGCATATGTGCCCTATAGCAAAAATCTTTTAAAAAATAAAACAAAAAACCAACCTTTTAGGGGCCAGCAAGTGGCATGTTGGTTAATGTGCTGGACTCCCACGTGGCCAACAGCAGTTTGAATCCTGGACCTGGTGGCTTGCTTTCTCACTCTCCCTTTCCTACTTCTGTCTCTCTCTGATCAAATTAAAATATTAATACTAAATAAAATGATTCTTTAAAAACTTTGTTTTAAATAATAACTACCACAGGGGCTAGGAGGTGGCATGGTAGTTAAGGTAGCTGGATTCCAACATGACTGACTGCAGCTTCAGTCCTGAGCAAAGTGGCCTGAAAATTACACCAGTTGTTTGTGCGCCTAAAATCCTGAGAGGAGAATGGAGGATTGTAGCATGAACATCTCCCTTGGGGGTGATTTCTCACTTTCTCCACTTTCCCTTTCTCTGTCGGTCTCTTCTCTGGTGAGCGCACATACCCTATGGCAAAAACCTAAAACACACACACACACACACACACACACACAAAAAGTATATTACATTAACAAAAACCATACCTAGTCCTTGATAAATGGAAATTGAGTAGAGGCCAACCGCTTATAGTGGAGACTCTCTAAGATAACCTAATCAACTTCCTGTAAGCCACTCTTCAATCTAACTAGTAAGCCTTGTTCTGTATATTTGTTCCTACACTTGGAAAATAACAATCAAGACATATAGGTTAACATAAAAACAAACCACTTTTCTTACTAATTAATGCCTGGCATAATCCAACAAAAAATGGGAAAGTAATATATTTAAAGGGAAAATTGAGGTAGGTATAAATACAGTTTTTTAGAAAAAGGATTAGTAAAGTGACCATAACTAGAATAATCAGGAACCACCTTTCTTATCAGAAAGTTGTATCTGTAAATTGTTTTGATTAAGTGGCCCATAAATGTAGATTAATACTAGAAGTAGACTTCTTGTTAGCAGCATAATTTTGTAAGGCAAGACTAACAATTTGAGAGGAAGTACATTTTGGGTCATCATAACCATCAAGCATGTGAAAAGTTTTGTTAAAGATACTATGTTTATAAAGGTGAGTTATCAAATTT